CCCTTGGGTCACCGCGAAGTCGCGGACGTCAGTTTGAAGGTGGAGGCGCCTCGGCCTCTGTTCACACGCCGAGTGAACGACCGGGCGAGAGGTGGCGTCGTCTCCGGCCGTCCGCGGTAAGTTGCGCCTTTGCAGACGTCGTTTCTTTGGAGGTTTTGGTGTGTTCCTCACACGCTTCTCTCACAGCACGCGTCCTCTGTCCTGACCTCCCTCTTCTCCAGCTCTGTCCCCACAGCCAGCGTGGCCACGGCCTGCCCCGCTCGGCGCCCTCCGGCCCGCTTCAGGAGACCGAGGCCCCCCTGTCCACCGCGGGCCGTGCGGGCCCTGGGGTTTCCGCGTCGCAGATGCGGGGCCCGGCCAGGGGTCCCCTGAGCGCACGCCTTCCTTGCGGCCTGCGGGACCGCCGGTCCTCTGCCCCCTCCTCTCCCGTTGCCCACCTGGTAGCACCGAGTCTGAGACCACGCGTGGTCATTTGCGGTCTGTAGGCCCACTAGATGGTACCCTCTGAGGGCCCGTGTCACCGTGTTCTCCGCACGCCTGGTGCCCTGCACGAGGCCTCACGCACAGGACCCGGTGGGGAAAGGCTTGCTGAGTAAAGGGAGGAAGAAAGTCATTGTGGGTGGAGGAACGGAGGCGGCGTGCCCGCAGAGGGAAGCCAGGCCGGGGCGCGAGGGAACCGCCCCCGTCGTGCTGGCGGCCGCGCCGGCCTCTGGGCTGCCTTTTCTGCCTTTTCTGATTCAGCGCTTCACGGCATTCCAGTCCCCCGCCCCACAGGCCCCGCTGCCTCTTCGTGTGCGTCCTGATTTGTCTGGAGCGCCTGCCGGGCTCAGGCGTCCCCCTCGGCCGGACGTCGGCCTCGCAGGGTCCTTCGGCGGGAGCCGGGTGGGCGGCGGTGGGGAGGAGTGGGCCACGCAGAGCACCGACCGTGAGGCCGGAGGGGTGGGCGGCGGGTCGTCTGGAGCTCACTGCGCGGTGGGGACCCAGTGTTCCCAGAGCAGGACTGAGAACGCAGGCTGGCTCTCGGAGACCCTCGGGAGGCAGGGGTCACGAGGGCGGGTCTTCATGCGGTGTCCCTGACCTCACGCCACCTCCGGCCTCCCTGTCTCGCGGGTGAGGAGGCTCCCGTCCGTCTTTCAGAGAGCTGATCTCCTTCCCTGGCGGTTCACAGACACCAGCACCTGTCCTTCGTGTCTGGGACATGGTTCCAGAAGGATCGCAGGTGTTCTCGAGTGAAGCGGGAGACCTCGCCGGGCCCTTGCCCTCTGGCGCCCTTTCACACGGAGCGCCTGTCCGTCTCTTTCAGAGCCCAACGACGAGAGTGGCGCCAACGTGGATGCTTCCAAGATGTGGCGGGACGACCGGGAGCAGTTCTGCAGGGTCGCCCGGCAGCTGGCGCAGAAGTCCCTGGGGCTGTGAGGCCCCGGCCCACACATGGACACGCGCAGTGACAGTGACACCCTGTGCCGGTACCCAAAAAGGCGAGCTTGCAGAAGCACAGCGTCTGGTTTTTCCCTGCCTTTCCCGCTCCAAACAGGCTTCTCTTCTGAAATGGTGATTTATGTAGGATGATGACGCCGGGCGCAGTTTTCCCCGTATTCGCGTGGGTGGTCGGAGCCCTCGCCACTGCCCCTCCCAGCCGGGGCCCCGCATGCCCCGTCGGTAGTGGCTTCCCTTCCGTCTGCCGGGCAGGGGGCGGCCAGAACCAGTTGTCCTTCTGAAGAAGCAGCAGAGGGTGGGCGGGACAGCTCTGGCCTTGCTCCCCGCGTGCCCCAGGGGGACGGCTGTCTGCGTCCCTGCTTTCTAGTGCTTCGGGGGTGTTGTCCTTGTCATCTGGTTACAGCTTTTTGTTTGTCGCGCATTACAAACTATCACACATGCTTTCAGGAAATAAATACTTCTTAAAAATGTGGATTAATGAAAAACGGGGTGTGTACGAGAGAGGTTTACTGCTGGTCGTAAGGACTGACCGCTTCTTCCTGGTCCCGTTTAGCGAAGAGGTACACCGATGGCCGGGTTTACTGGCACATCACAGGGCGGGAGCACGCGAGACTGGACGTTTTGGTCAGTGTCTTCTGGACGCACAGGGGTCTGTCTTTTCCACATAAACATGGGGAGACGTTCTGTACGTCGTGGCCGCAGCAGGAATGTTCATTATTGAGACAGTTCTTTTCACTTGGGGCTGGAAGGGAATGTGCACCCCTAGTGAGCGCAGAGGCGTGCCTTATCCCAACCTTGACCGGGGCCGGGGGCGGGGGCAGGGCACTCAGTGTGGGGTGTGATGTCCCTGCCCTGGCACCAGGGGCTCCGTTCTAAGCAATAACAGATCTGTTGCAGAATCAAGTATTTGGCCTGTCAGACAGGTTACGTCTAAATAGGAATTTCTATTTTTGAAATGGGGGACAGTCTACAGGACATACCGTGGGTTTTACTTCTCATCCTTCTCTCCTCAGTCGCGTGTCCAGCGGGCGGGAGTCCGTCTCACCGACACCTGACACAGGGTTGCTTGGTGTTCACGAGACTGGTGGACGGGGCTCCGTCCATGCTGGCTCTGTAAGGAAAACAAATTCTTTCTCAGAAGGGAACCACTTCAGATTTGGAATTCAGTACGAGAACTTGTATTTGGAAGGGGATCAGGAAGGGAGAGGGGTTGTACCTGAATAGTATTTGCGGGCGTATTAAATGAGATGCGGCCCTCTCCATGGAGAGGGAAGGACTGGTCCGTGGACACGGCTGGTGTGCGGGCGCTGTGGCCACGGGGTTTCCATGAAATCTGGAGAAGGGAGAGAGGCGATCTCTCTGCAAGCAAAATATTTTTATTCACTTGTATTTATTAAATGGAAACAAAGAGAATCTCATGTCCTTACTTTGTGGTGGAGTTTAATTACTATGTTAAAAATAAAGTTATATATTTTCCCCCTATTCCGTACCGTATTTTTCCTTGTGGACTTTTATGTAACGCTACAGAATTTTGTGTAATCCTAGAAAACCGAAACTGGTTGTGCCCCGGGTCGGTGCCAGAGGCCTCGCAGCGAGGCGTGGCCGCAGCTGGAGCCCTTCGGGGCGCCCCTTTATTCTGGGGACCCGTGCCCTTCTTCCTCTCCTCCCCCTGCCGTGCTCCTTTGCGGGAGTTCTGGGTTCCCTAAGGGGCCCGGGTGTGCGGTTGGCGGCGGGGGCACGGGGGTGTGCGTGGGGCATGGGGGATGTGTGCGGATGTGCGGG